TCCCTGGTCTTCAGTGGCCTGTCGGCTATTTCCTCAGCTGTGGAGAACACTGTGGTACCTCTGATGGTGCTCTCCCAGAGTTCCCATGGAAACTGCACCCTGCCTTATAGCATTAGACTTTTACCAGTGGCACTTTTTCTGTCATTCAGTGGTCATCTGGCTCACTCCACTCCTGCTGTTTCTGGTCTCCATCCTCCTACTCAATTACTCCCCGTACAGGCACCTGGGGCAGATGAGGGACTTCATGTCTGGACCACGTGATCCCAGCACCCAGGCCCACACCGCGGCTCTCAAGTCTTTGTCCTTCTTCTTCTTCTTCTTCTTTCATGCACTGCATGCCCTGACCCTGGCCATATCTTTGAAGAACATCATCACCATCTGGAATCCGTGGTTCTGGGCCAAGGAAATGGTCCTGTATGCCTGCCTCTTCCTGCACTCCGTTGTCCTGATGCTAAGCAACCCCAAGCTGAGAAAGGTCCTGAAAATGAGGTTTTAGGACCCACACTTACTGATAAGGCTGTGAAGGCCGTGCACAATGAATGTTTCCACTTCTAAGCAATCAGCACCAAGAAGCAGAACCGTGATGACCAGCCTCATGTGCAGCAGGAATTAATGAAGTCTGGGTGATTTCTCTTACTTCTCTGCACCACTCCTTCCATGATCCATTCATTCCTTTTCCTTCTCTCTGTGTTCCTACTGACCTCTCCACTGTTGCTAGTGTCTGGTTGAATCCCAGTTACCTTGGCCCTAGATGATGGTCTCTTCTCCCAGGACTCTCTGATTCTGCAAGCAAACAATGCTAACATTCTTCTAATCCTCTGATGAGGACCCGAAACCATCAATGGTTGTTGCTGTCTAGTGTCATGACTTTCCCTACACCACCTGGTGCTCCCTGTCTCTCAGCCCTTCCTGTCTTCCCACAAAGTCCTTCCCTTCCCATTTTAACTCTTTGGACTTCCAAAGAACAAGAACTTCTGTTTTCCTTTTTTCTTCACTCTTTCTTCCTTCTTTCCCTTCTCTCTGAATTTTGTACCCTGCTCAAGACTGATTTCACCCATAGAGATTTTTCAGTTTGTTCCCAAGGAAGGAAGAGGGCCCCTGAGAGTTATGTCCCACTAGGGTCCTATCCATGACTTTATGTTTGTGTCATGTTGAGTTGAAAGCATTTACGTCCTGTTGGAGGGCTTTTAGCTTTAGCTTGCAGAAGACAGGTGGAGCAGAAAGGGAGGCGCCACACCTCTCAATGCTGATGTCCTTCGGGCCGGTGTGCTCACCCTTCATGTGCCAGCTGGTTTCTCTTGAGCAGGAAGAGGGTCACCAGAGTGGAGCTTGTGTGGGGAGAAACCACTGGAAAGAACCTGGCATCATTGGCTTTCATCTTAATGTCCAACTTCCTATTTTTGTGGGTGCTTAATATATATACAACGTGTGAATAAAATAGTACCTGCCTATAATTAGTATGTATATAATAGTAACTTAGTATTCAGTGTAGGCAGACTGAATTCTATAGATTAAGTGATGATTTATTCCTCCAAGTTCTAGAGCTTGAAACTCAGGGTGGCAGCCCTGGTGGGCTCTGGTGTGGGCTCCATGCTGGGTGGCTGTATCCACAAAAGGAAGA